TGGTAGACAAAATAGGATCTTACTAAATAAAACATAATTCTTGGATATTTAAGTGTCTGGGCCCTTTTACATCAGGTTTCTATGTGTATTTAGAGAAGCTCTTTCTTCTAAACTGATCTTCCGACATTACTGTGGTTTCTCATATGTCTAATCTGATTCCAAAAAAGGAAATTGAAGCTGCTAGCTGGATGTTTTTCCAGCACATTGCTCCTTTACTACAATGATCTACAATAGGACAGGGACTGATAAGGAAAATTAGTGGGTATGTTGATGCTGCTTTCTCCTGGAACATCTCCAGATAGTTAGTGAGGGTTTTTTTTTAAAAAAAGGAACTAGCCATCTTCACACAAATCTTTTGGAACATGTCTTCAAAACAATCTGCCAAAAGCAGGTGTGACTTCTGATCTGCTTCCAAGTGAAAAAAAAATAGACTGGGAATTAGGAAATCTGATTTTTCTTCATGTGTCCCGATTTTAAATGAAACAAATCACTACTGCCATTGTAATTTATTTCCAACCATGTGAAAATTCAATATACCAAACTTAATAAAATGAATTAATTCTACATAAAATAATGCCAATTATGCATTTATTATATATGTGCTAAATATGAATTATAGCTAAACAGAGAATTTTTAAAAACAAACCGCTGTATCCCACATCAATTCAAGACAGGCTCTTAAGCCTTGTATAAACAGAGAATAAGTTCTTCATTAAATATTCTGCTTTCATAGTGACAGTTATGAATGCAACTCACACAATCCACATTTAATTCTAATTGCCTAAACTGATGATACTTGTTGGCAAAATAGAATAACAAATCACATCCTTTTGTCATTCACTGATATTCATTAAGCAGTGACACCTCATTTATTTAGAATTATGTCATGATTTGAAACACCACATATAATTAGATACAAATAAATACATAACTCACAAAACAACAGGTTGTTAAGTAAAATAATTTAAAGTCCTATTCTTGGTAATGAAGAATACAATTTTAATTAACAAATAGAAGTAACGTATATTATGCCTCACAATTCAACTTACAGGTGTAAAAGTAATCTGAAAGATTGCTGTGTCAGTACTATTTCTACAAAGGAATGTCAAAGGTCACAAAATAAGAAATGGTACTTCTTAAAGAGGAACAAGCGAAGGAAATATATTACCATCTGTAACGCCAAGTCATTACCCCTTTCTTAATTTTAATTTTAGAATAGGGGATACTTCATGACTATCAACTAAATTTCATGTGCAGGACCTAATGTATAAAATAAGTTATTCATGGGAACAGAACAGTGCATATGTTCCTATGGATTTTCATATTGGTAACAAAATGTACAAAATATGATGCTTTTATAAGCTGCTAGCCCAATTCAAAGAAAGGATGTAATCACATTTTCCCTTAAATATGGCTTTTAACATATAAATTTAACACATTTAAATTTAATTTCCTAGGAAAGGATCAAGGAAAATCTTATTAAGGCATTATCTGGGACTGAAAGGCTAAAATGCCACAAAACATGCCAATTCTCCATATTTATTTCAAATGTATTTTTTTCAATGAAGACAGTCCATGGAATGCCACCCATTAGGTAAGTATCCCTAACTGATAAATGCTGAGCTAATTGTATATGTATTCCAGATTCCAACTGGACTTCCAGCAGTGAGAATTCAAAGAGATTTAATAACTAAAAGGAATACTTTGAGATGTATGTGTTTTAGTGTACAAAGATGTCCATAAACACAAATAGCAAGATTCTGACTTTACTACAGGAGAAATTCCTCCACCACAACCACTTTCCTGCCTTACATATTCTTGATAAAGCACTATGGTCTACAATATCAGGTTCTCACCATAGCAGTATAATAAAGGAGGAGGGGCTGCTACTGCAAAGAATATTATCCTTCTATATACGCATTGGTTCATTGAATGAATTAAAATTATTTTGTTTAACTTCACATCTTTAAATTTAAAAAATTAAATTAAAATATGCAAGATTTGAATCTCTTTTCCTTCCTTGGGGGCTACTGATTACTGACAGCTCTATGTTCTACCTCTTCAGCCGTCCCCAAAAATAGTTTGCAAAAAATAATTCTAATAACATTGGTTACAGCTTGATTTTAGTCCAGTTCCATTCCTTGGAATGTTATTGAGCTTTATTTCCTATATACTTTCTGCTTCCCGAAGGAAGACACAACAGTAACAATATAAACCAGAATTATATAATGTATGAAGCAAAGACAACAAATCTGTATGCAAATAATTTATGAGAAGAAGGTTAATGAATAATATAAGTTAGAAACATTGCTCGGAGAACTACTTAATTTTAGTCCAGTGCTTGATAATGGCAAATAACAAACAAGCTCCCTGAAAAAAATTGGAAATCCATATATAGATTCTATATTAATAATAAAATGGATGTTTGTCAAATATAAATGAATGATGCAGACTGTGAAATTACTTTTTCGCCATAAATCCTAAATATTGGGGGAAAAGTGTTCCATTGGTATTATGAGTGTATATTTAATAAAAGGGAAGTCTTATAACTCAAATTATAGGAAGGTGATCTATCTTACACAAAGTTGTTATGTGAATTATTCATAGAGCTTAACAATCGGCTTCCATAATTTTTTGATCACTGTTATCAATGGACATTATGACATGAATGAAGAAAACATTTAGTAAGTAAAACTTCATATGTTTTTCCAGACAATTTAAGGGCATGTAATTGAGCATTATTTAAGCAGAAATTAGGTGGCAAAATGTCTATACATATACGCGGTGAAAGTTTTTTTGTGACCATCTTCAGGTTTTCATTTGTTTTCTCTTTTTGCCTTTTTAAGACTAATGAGTGACATTTTGTAACTTCTTTTTATCAAATTCTGTAATTTAAATCAATGCAACATGCAAACCTCATTTTATAAAACCAACATTTATTTAATGATATCCATTTTATTTTTGCTCTTTTTTATTGAGATTATTTTAAATGCCAATTGAGAATTTCTGAAGTTCAATATAAGATGGGTTGCTATATAAATATTTTACATACACCCAGACATTCACACAGCGTATTTATACATATGCATATTTCCAAAGAATTGTCTGTGCTTCAGAAATCAAAATCAAATCGTACAGGTTTAGCAAGTTTTCAAACACTGAAGTGATTTAAAGGAAAGATATCAAGAGAATTCAAAATTTTGTCGGTAATGAAATACATTTTTATACTTTTTTTTTTGCAATTAAAAAGAAAAGTATTCCCAATTAAATAGCCAAAATAAATAAATAAAAATAAAGCAGGAGAACTGGATGGATTTTTCCATCCAGGAGGTTAATTTCTTTATATACAATTACTAATGTTTCATAGAAACTGGCTACTCTACCAATATTAAATGCCAAAGGATTAGCACAATGGTTTGTTACTGTCCCCTCCACCAAACAAATAAATAAAACAACACACCCCTAATTCAAACTAAGGTTGTCAGCAGGTGGCAGCATTTATCTGGCTTGTCGAGACTCAGAAGCTTAGTAAGATCAGGCCTAGTTTTCCACTCAAAGGGAGGCCGCCAAGGAATACCACAGCGTTACCCATACTGGATATGAAACCATGCCAGAAGGAAGCAATGGCAAAGTACTTCCATATTACTGCCATGGAACTGCATGGTTGTATCTATGTTGCCACCAACAATTGAGCTCAACTTGGGAAAGTCTTGACTTTGTCTTACAGTAAATAGCAACATGTTATACGCCCACGCTTGTTTCCAAAACTCATTTCCACTTTTTTCTATCAGATTCAATGACAGAAGGAAGGGAATGGACATGACTTTCAGATAAGGAAAAGTAGAATAAATTCATCATAAACACTTCCAGATGTTAATAGGGTACCGTTTTAAATGTGACCAATAAAAAGCCAGTTTGCAAACTAATATTACACACATCTAACATCGGCACCTTTAGGTAACTACAATGTCAATCATGTCTCTTACCTTGGTAAGGCCTAATTTCATTTACTCCTTGCTCTACTTGAAACAGCATATGTTTTAAAAGGCAAAAAAGTTTTGAGAACATTTGTTGGCATGCATAATAAAGTTTCGTATCTTCAGAATATAACTGTTTGAGATCCTAATTCAACATATCAGAAAAGGACGAATTTGTCTTAAAACCTCTAATTTATGCCAATTACACACAGTGCCTTTCATCATCAAACACTTTTGATTTATTAAAAATAATTAAGAACACGTTAGCATCAAGCCCAAACAATGTTTGCTCAAATAGTCCATCTACAGAAAGCACCACTATCTTGTTTTTTTTTTTCCCAATGCATTATTTCCTTTGTAAAAAGATTTTCTGAATTAAAATGCTGAACAAGCCTTTCACAAAATAGTCTTAATTTATAACTTAGGTTTGTGACAATTCAACCTACTGCAAATAAATTATTTGAAAATACCAAGCCTCTAACTTAAACTACAGATGTTTAAACAGAGGTATGAAGTTGGTAATATGCTCATAGTCTTCACAATAGGATGTTCTCCTAGCTATTGTGCTGCACTTCCGTGCCTTTCTCTATGTTGGGCAATTATGCTCTCTCCTAAGTCAACTGTAAACTGCCTCCAATATTGTGCCAGTCAAACCTGTTAGCCATCCTTTGCTAAGATTTTAGGTTTTAGTGTACAAAACACCAGATCCTACAGAATCATTACATCCCATCTGTTCAACATAAAAAGCAGCATAGATTTCATCTCTGCTCTTTAGGACCATAAGAACCCAAATCTTCTTTTATGGTTTAATTAACAATACAGTGGGTGACAAATTTATGTTTGCTGGCTGTGCACTTTAGCCAGAAGGCGGAAGGGGGGGGAGGAATGAGGGTGACCCAGAGAAAAAAAACACAAAAATAAAAGCATTTGCAATGCATGCACACACAAACATGCATGGCTGTGCGTGTGCATGCACGCGCACACACGTCCACACACCCAGAGACAAGGAGAAAGTCAACTCACAGAATCTCCAAGTCACGGAGGGCTCGGAAAGCTCCATCTTCAATGCAGCTGATCTGATTGTTGTCCAGTTGCCTGCAGGAAGGAAGGAAGGAAGGGAAAGGATGAAGGCTTGCCTGGTAGCCACGCTGCCTTGGAGCACCATGTCCTCAGCTTCCCTGTCACCAAGGTGTCCCTCCACCCCTCTGCAGTCTTTGCTTGTCACCGGGCGAAAGCTTGCTGGTAGCCTGCCACGCTGCTCTGTCTCTTCTCACTGACTCTCTAAAAGAGCTGCATACTACAGCACACTGAAGCCTGTCAGGTCTCAGTAAATATTAATTGTGCTTTTCCCCCCCTCTAAGGCAGAAGGGAATAATTTCATTACATTAGGACATCCAATCCATTATGAGCTTTTACCGTCATGTCACTGAAACAATTTCATTAAGCTAAAGGCCTGTAAATCATTGGAGGTCACTGTGCTGCCCCCGTGACCTCCCAGAATGCTGCTTTTCTCCTTTTACTGGAAGTTGTAGTTCTCCATCCTAAGAGTACTAAATCTCAAGCCTTTATCTGCCCAGGAGGTCCCAGGGTGCACAGGGAATATACCCATTCCAAATTAGCCTCGGCTAATCTAATTGTATAGTCTTTTTATTATTACAAGCATCAAATGTCTGTGGTGGTTCGATGCTCACTTGCATTGTTGCTGGCCCCATCTGGAAGGCCTCACTATTGACACATTTCTAACCAGCATGAGCAGGAGAGATCTAATCATCAAATCAAATGTCAGGATAGACACACTCGGAGCTAATCAGTTACCTTGGGCATAACGGAGTAGACCTGTTCAAATATAAGCAAGACCAAATAAGGGAAGAAAAGGGGAGCACTCAAATCACTCCTTTCAGAATCAGACCAGGTATTTTTTTTTTTTTTGGTACACAAAAGAACGCAGCAATTGGCCCTAGATTTACACCAAGCCCAGCCATTTCTGATTACAGATGTGCATTGCCCATTCATAATAATTCATTTATTATACTGACTTTTCATGAATTGCTTTGGGGCATATTTGACTGAAAAAATAATCTTATTGAGAAACAGTATATTTTTAAAACACTGCATTTTATTCCTATAGCCATTTTTATTGCTTTAATTTGCTTAGGCCTATTTTCTTGTATGATTTGTGGCGTCAAAACCCAATACCCACCCCTCCCTTGGGAAATAAATGCATAAATGTATTCCCAGTTACACACTTCAGGTACTGCTGAAGTTAAAAGTGCTAAATATGCTGTTTTTATAATCAGACACGCAATAAAATGTTGCAGTATGGAGCATGGTTGCTCAAGATTGTGCCAATGATGCAATTTCTCTGCGCACACTTTTGACTGTTTCTTCATGGATGCTGTCATTTTGGCTATATAAGAATTGATGCATGGAGAATGACTTCCATCCTTAGTATACTGTATATGACTACAGTGCCGCTGGAATACTTTGAACTCATTGGAGTCAAAAAGCTTGAATATGTGTATGAAATAAACATAATTAGATCTTATTACCCAAATTAACTATTTTGTATAAAATAAGGTTCTAATAATGTAAACCAGATCATAGATGATGCAGGCTGAAAAACCTAGAGTTAATGTTTAAACAGTTGTAAGCTTTATATCAGAATACACCGAGTTTTCAAAATAATAGAATATGCTTAAAGTTCATTCAAATCAGATCATACCATTTTTGGAACGCACAGGTGCAACTGAGGGCTCTTAATTGGTTGTGAGTTAAAGACAGGTAAAAATACCTAAGAACACCCAAAAGTGATCTTTTATACATCCTTAGGAATTCTAACAAAATCAAACCACTGTTGAAGGGACAATATTGGGGGATCAGGTGGTTACAGAGATAAATTTAGACAACTTTTAAAATGCCCAAACTTCACTGCTGGCAATGGAATTGCTAACACATATTACAAATCCTGGTCAAATCATTATTTCCATTTTTCCACCTTTAGTGGTAAAGTTTTTGGAATATACTATTGTGAATTAAATGAGAATAATATGGCTCAGTGATGTCTGTTAATTAAATAACCTTCTGTAGCCAGAAATCTTGATTTTTTTAAACTTATATTTGTAATGCAGTTTTAATCTTGCCATTGCTTGGAGCCCACTCTTCACCATGTATTGAAGTTTGCTGATAGCTCTTCTCAGCCTTGTGAAGCTAAACACTTAATAACTCATGACTGATTTCACAATCCTCCTTATACAATAAAGGCAATTTAGCAATATACCTGGGAGTGTGCAAGAGCTCCTGAAATACAAAAGCAAAACCTTGGACTTTAGTGCTGCTTGCACGTGAGCTGCTTTTGTTTTTCCAGGCTGTTTTTGCTGTTTTCTTGATAAGCAATTGATGCTCAATGCTCCTATGTTTAATAACACAGGCACTCTTTATACTTACAAGATTATATCAGTATGTAATGCAGCAGGGGTAGAATGTATATTTTAGCATGAGGGAATGCCATAAGTTACAAGCATAGTGATTCGACTGGGTAAAGCAGGAATTTACACACGCCATTTTGCTACTTTATGTGATGGCACTGTGATCCCACTGTATTGTGGGAGTATCATTTTTAAAATAACCAGATTATTCACACTTTCATAGTTTAACAGTCATAGAAAGAAAACAAGGTGCCAAGTGTAAACAGACAAATCGTTCTTCTGTGCCTATCATCAAATAAAAAGAAATGGATTTATGACCCTAAAATATCATAAGGATCTTTGGGTCACTCCCCCTCCCTGAATCTATGAAGACAGATATTGCAGAACTAGTTCCATGGCATTACTTTCCCTCCATTGAAAATTAACAATAACATCACTAGACTGAAATATACATAATACAGTTACACAAGAAAATATTAATGTACAGAAATATACCCAGATCTATACAGATATTGCATCTGCCATGTACCCTTCCACAACAACTACATCCTGATACGGTAATTATTTCTGAAGATAGACAAAATGCTCAAAATAATATATTCTTTCAACAAGGTACATCAGAGGAAAAAATATTTATAGGAAGCATGATTTTATAATATTGGAGAATATGTAACTGACAACAATATTCTTCATTAGAGGAAATAAAGCAATGGCAAGCAATAGGCCTCAATTTTTTTTTTCTCAGTTTATTTTTAAAGGCTGAAGACTAAGAGGCTACAATATTATCTTGACTTTTGACTTAACGTATATAAGAATATTTAGTTGAACCTAAATATGAACGTATGAAAATCAATGTTCAACCCACCCAGCTGAATGTATAGATGCAGCTTGTGTTGAAGGATCAATACACAGTATTCTCCCAGGAGAATGCTTAATGAAATTTAAGGCATGCAAGTTTAGAAACTGTATTTGAAGCAAAAACCTACCCATACACCAGCTGCTCTAAGATTATTTTTAAAAATACATGTATGATGCCATACAGTTAAGTTTTTACTTTTGAATTAAGCACAGTTCTTTAAGGATCTTTGTGTCACTTTGGAATCAGTTCTGGCTATCCTTTGTTGAAGATGACAGAAGAGAAACAAATTGCACCATTTTCTTTTTAGTGTGTCTATGAGAGACCAGAAAATTTTATCTTTTTTTGGGGGGGTAGCATAGTAGTTTTTGGCACTTTGTTTCCCTACTGGTAGAAGACTTGCCTCAACTTCCTATAATAACCCATTGCTTGCTCCACCCAACATCCTAATACATCTGCTTTGCTCTCTAGATATTGAGATTAGTAGCCATAAAAACAATACTCTTTCTAAAAGACTAGGGAGTGGAAATTGAAATCCTTGCCACGCAAGGAAAATGTGAAAGGGCAGTTTGCTCAAGGACAGGAAACTCTGTGTTCAGCTTTTTCAACACAAAGGGCACGAACAACAGAGAGAAAGCATTTTCTGTATGCCCTGCTTCTAAACAGATCATCTAGGCTGATTACATTTTTCATCCAGTTCTTCATAAGAGCAGCTTCATACTATGAAAAAGAAAACGCTGGACTAAGTGGACCCTTGCTCTGATACAGCAGATATATTTCAACATTCTTTAATGATAGCTAGCTTGAAACTGAATCACAAACAGCTGGAGATGCTCTGAGTGTTTTCTCCTTGCTTTGCTTTATTCCACGGGTGTCAAACTTGCGCATCACATTGCCATCACATGACGTATCACAACGTTTTTCCCCTTTGTAAAGCTGGATGGGTGTGGCCTGCATGTAACACATCCAGCCCTTGGGCCGCCAGTTTGACACTCCTGCAGTTTATTCTGTTCTCATTGACTCATCCAGGATTCATCATCCTGGAGTAGTTAAATAGTGATGTAACCAAAGAATAGGTTCCAAAATGGAGTAATAGAAGGTCAAGATAATGGGCACAAGATTGGGATAGAAGAGGGGAGAGGGAAATTCTTTCAAATCTATTTCATTCTGTTCCTTATTTTCTTTTCCAGGTTTCCTAGTGCAGAGGAAACAGATAGAATGACAGAGACAATTAGAATTGGATAGAAAGAGGAAGAACGTTTTAATGATTAAAAAAATCTGCTTTCTAGGAAGATGATGTCAGATTCCCTAGTCTCTTGAGATAAAGATGAGAAATTAGAGAGCTTACACCAGTCAATGGATGGACTCATGTCCTATGAGCCCCATGCTTTAGCAGGGTAACCATGGCATCCCTTTTTAATCTTTGAAATTGGAAAGAAAAATAGCCATGTTTCCATGACTTGAGGGAAAAAGGTAATCTTCCATTACCATCGATCCATTAGTTCAACAACTGCTTGAAATTACTATCTTTATGATCACATTATTGCAAATCAGGTGCTTGGCAATCAGCATTGATTTACAACTGCAGCAACCCACAGTGATGGGATCATCATTTCTGATCTTCTCAGCCAACAAGCAAAATCAATGGGAAAACCAGCAGAAGTTACAAGTTGTGGTCACGTGATGTCGCCCTTAACCTGCAATGGTTCATTTACTGATTGCAGCTGGAACCGATAAATTGCTGTTGTAAGTAAGATGTAGTCACATGATTCCTCCTCCTTTTGCAACTATGTCGCTTAGCAATGGAATCACTA